GCCGAGGAAAGTACGAAAGTTACGTTCTCCAAAAAATTACGTCTACGTGGGTTTCTTTTTGTACAGTTGTTATCATGAAATAAATGATGATCGCGGTTGAACGCTGATGAGCATGAAAAGATGATTGTGCACATCTCCAGTTCTCTCTTTCTTTTCTTTCCTCTCGGATACCAGATAGGAAACGCAAAAGAGCGCAGGCAGATGCACTCTATCGTAGCAAAAGCGTTCTCTTTCTTTCTGTCTGTAGTTTTGCACGAACTAGGTATCGCGAACAATGAAACATTCACGTGAATCTCAATGCCCAGGATGATTCGTATCAACGTGAATACCGCAGTTGCTTCGCAATCAATCAATCTTATGTTCAAAATCATATAATCCTTTAGTGTTCACCGAGAATATGACCAGATCATCGGTTTTTCCGATTAAAGATCTTGTATATCAATATGAATTGAGCCTTGATCGGAATTACCTAACTCGTATTCATCGTAAATATATCATAGATAAATAACGTGAAAGTATAACGACAGCCAAGCCGAAATCAGGTTGTTCCTGCCTGCTCTCTTTCTTGCTGAATGTTTCTTGCCGATCGACATGATTAAAAGAGGCCCTTCTTCTTGTTCTTCTTATCTTTACCGTCAACAGTCCTGAAAGGAGAATTTTTATATCATGATTATTGTTTGCAAATCCTAGTTGTACACCGATCGACGCTTTCTGATAATCGGCATATGCGTGACATGGGATGTTCGATGAAGAGAGTGAGGACGAAAGAGGCAGTGATCTTGATGAAGTCTGGTGCAAGAACTTTCGTCTACGATTATCTCCATTTATGATATCAGAAAGTTAAATTCAATTAACATAAAAAATAATTTAAAACACAGAAACGCTGATGTATGCATGACAATTCTTTTCAAATTGCGTTTTTTCATAATTACGTGAGAAATTCGCATGATAGTGAATATTTTAAAATGTCCAAAAATAATATGATTATATACAGATATGTTATTTAATACATTTCTCTTTGTATCGCGTAAGAAAAATTTATTTGTTGTTCTTTTCTCTATGCATGATCCTACCTTAGATTTCGCGAAAAAAATTTATTTATTTAATGCCTTATATGTCGCTACAGACATCCTAGAAAAATGCTGAAAATCGAGATCTAAAAACGTCAACAGTCTCAACAAAAATTTCTAGAGCGAGACGCGACTCGTAACATATCGTTATGGAAAATTGTTATGCCTATTGTTATCGCCGATTCGCAGACTGTAATGCAAAATAAATATCTTGCGAATGAAAAATCTATTCATGCGAAAACCATGCTTCGAACCCATCCTCTGTTCGTGACTAGGGAACAACATGCTGATCTCACGTGTGTATCCAGAAATCAAGTCCCGCGTTTCCGCTTCGTGCTTCGTTGCTTCTGATTTTTGTTTAACTCTCTTCCGCGGCAGATATCACGTTCGTCTTATCCGCGAATACAAAGATACGAAGTCGTTTTGTATTTTACGATATTTGAATTCTCCAATATTTTATATAAAACTGTAGATACATATGCACACCGAGAGTACGTTACCATATCGTCATTTTAAATAAAAGTCTCTCGAGAGAGAAAAAACGAGAGAAAAGAACAAGACGAAAAAAACGCGAGTAAATTTAGAAAGATGTTCTGTTTGAAAATACTGTTACTTACTCGCTTCAATTCAAAGTTGAATTTGATGTGAAATGTTTTATGAAAAATTTTGCATAAAATATTTTATGAAAAAATTAAACTGTATAAAAAACCGGATTTAAAATGACGATGTGATAAAACGGTAAAAACATTATATGCACATGGCAGACTATAAAACATAACCAAAAGCGATAAGGGAAAATTGTGTTCGTTTTTCACGGATTTTCACACTTTTAAAAAACATTTAATCATTTACTTCCTCTTTTGAAATCCTATTGCAAGAATCGCAGTCGCAATTTTCCCTCGTCGCGTCGCAAACATTTCGACAAGCTAAATAATCGCAACGAGAGAGGATTGAAAACGGTTAGTAACGGTTTTAGGTAAGCATTGCGTTTATTTGCAAGAGATAAAAAAAGATTATCAATTACGAAATTAACAATGTATAATTTGCGAGTGATTATTAGTAATAGGCGGTTATATCCTCTATCAAGCTGTCTCTGCTTCCTCTCTTTGGGATCGATTCTCCGCGATTTGGAGAGTCTCGTCAGTCCGACGAAACGAAACGTTAGATCATGTGCGAGCGATCTAAATTACGAGCGTGTATACTTTTGGGCAATTGCGAGCGATAAACAGGAAACGAATGTATAAGAGTATAAAATCAAACGTATGAGACACCGACAGCTTGCTGAGAGTTTACAATCGACTTGAGACTTTACAAACCGCGAACTTACGAGGTGGCCGTTTATGTGAACCCTTTACCGCGTGTATCTCGTGATCGTTTTCTTCGATGATAAAAATATTCGTCGAACGTTGAACTTTTCTCGCGACTCTTCGAGAGACGAGTCTGCAGGCCTGTTTTTTTTCCATACCACTCTCTAAAATCTTTGGAGAATCTAATTCTAAAGAATGACAAAAAGTGATAAATGAATCAGTGTTGAAAAAAGTGACTCAATCATCAATTTTTAAGAGTGGGATTTCACTCTTCAGAATTAGATTCCACTCCAAAGATTTTAGAGAGCAGGTCTGAACTTCTTGCACGGTTTACCTTTTGATTTTTTTCTTTCAGCTCAGTGTCGTTTTATTGACATTGCATAGTTTTTTTTATCACGTATACTCTAAATTTCTTACAGTGAAATCTCTTTCAAGAAAGTAAAAATACAACCACCCTTGAAAAAAAGTGAAAATATTTTTAAAAAGTGACAATTTTCACTCTTTTTAGAGAATTTTCATTTTAAAGGAGTGAAACCTCATTCCAAAAAAGTGAGATTTCACTATAAAAAGAATAAAAATCATTACTTTTTTTTCAAGAAATGAAATATTTTCACCTTTTTTGAAGATTGCATTTTCACTCTGTGTAGTAAGATTTCACTGCAAGAAATTTAGAGTATATAATATTCACCCGATGACAATATATCGACACTGTCGTTAATTACGAGTTACAGAATCGGGATACTGAAATATAGAAAAAGAACAAGCCTCTCTTAGAGGATGAAGGAACTTTTCCAAGAGCTTTGTAATTCTCACGTTTCTACTGCGCTCTCGACAGACGTTAACTTACCTTCGCCACGCCACGATATCTCGTAAAATATTATATATATTGACCTGGCAAAAGTCAGAAATGCAAGAAATGTATACAGCCCGTTTGTCGCGAGTAACAATACGACTGTGCCTTTGCTAGCATCAACAATTCGAGAACATTCCAACAAAGCGGCACGAATACCTAAGTACGATCGGGAACGAACGTGACACGAATGTGTGATGCGGCAACCACACTGTCGACAGAAAGAAGAGGAGGGGTCGATTATGGCACGCGATGCGGTAAAGGGTTAAAGTGTACATGTATGTGTGTAAAACGTGTTGGACATGAGTACAAAAAATGACGCTCCTTGCTCGAAGGCGAGTGATAGTTGACATACAATTTTGCGCCTCTTTACATACAATCTCAAAGTTTATCAAAGTTAAAGTGCCAAAAATACGTTGCTAAATGTACATATCGCTATATATATAAATACTTAATAAGTCGTGTGCGCTGCGTATCGCCCAGACCGCGATTTACCGGAGCGCAAAAGCCCGAGACTCCGCATTTATGGTATTTGTGTTTATAGTGGCGAAACGCGCCGAGAAAATAACACACGAGATTGGCGTTTGCGAGTAATGAATCGCGCTTGAGATGTACATTGCGTGAAATACGTAATTCACAACGAAGGAATTTAGAATGAAAATGGTATCCGGGAAAACGAGGAAACCAGCCGGGACAAGTTTGCGCCGTGAAGGAAATTTGAAATAGAATTCAACTTAGCAACAGAACTTTCTTAACTTTCGAAACTTTCTTAACTTCAACCTTCAATGACAAGTTTCTTTCAATTTGCGGTATTTCTCGTTCTTACGATTAATTTACTTCTATTGAGATACTGCAATTCGATTAAGTATCAACTCGAACTTCCATCGAAGTAAGACTTGCAATGACTTGCATTTTAGCATTAAGTAAAATGTTTCTTAAAATCTAATTCGGCAAATGTATGTTAAACGGACGCCCGGTTAAAGATACTCGCTAATTAAATATTCGCACAAGAAACTGACTTCAACTTCCAAGAATGCGACAGTCTGCCGCGCGATTTCCATGTCTTCCAGGATACTTCATTCCTCCTACTTTCTTCAGCCTCCTGCTTTAATTAACGTTAAACGTACGCAATGTCTCGCGACGAGAATCGTTGACATAGCGATTAATTAACGCGCGAATGAAACGCGTCGACGAGTGAACTGAATGCGAGGAGATCGAGTAGAAAATAGCAAACGGAGATTCACTGAATCACGCTTGTAAACGCATGTCTCATGTTGTGCAATGCCTTTACGGGACGCAAGAAATGTACAGTCACTTTGGATTACGATATGTATCGAATGGCTTTAATAGAGCGCACGCACACGCGTGTCGAGTAAGTGCAGCTTATCGCAACAAGCGGTATATAAAGTACCGTTATGTTTTCAGATCTATTTACTTCAAAATTTATAAAGCCTTTATCGAAAAATTGATTGAATTACTAAATAAAAAAATTCATATGAAAGCTAGAAAAATTAATTTGATAATTTTTGTTAAAAATTTCGAGTGAAAAGTTGAAATTTGGACGAAAATAAAGCGATAACAAATCAAAGTTAATAATCATTTGAAAAATAATTTAAGTCAGAGATTTATGATTTCTGCTTTATAACAAATTCGTTTGAACGCACTGATGCATAATAATACATTGATTTAATCTGAATATAAAAGTAAAGTGTAAATATTATAAAATATATATTTTACTTAATAAAGTGTATTGGAAATTTCACAATATAATCGTTTTTATATTTATATTGAACATCTTTTACGTCAGTCTATACGGCTTTATGTACATCAATGCGAAGCATCTAATTCGTTATTAATCATTGCTAAGACAAGCGCTGACAATGTTGTACAATTTACTGAAGTAAAGTTGACGAATGGTTGAGATAGGCAGCACTTACTCTTCTCGAGTATGATAAGACCATGTTTCAACCCTTATTCAGGCGACCGACGCGCGTGTGTTTCCAAAAATAAAAGACTTCCTTTTCTTACTGTTTTGATTTGAGCCACTGACTAATCTAAATTATTTTGATTCCCACTCCTGTCAGTCCAAGGGAATATTCGTCGAGTGATACTGTCGCTACTAAGAGAGGGCAATCTCTGGATAAGGGTTGACAAGGGTCGAGCGCGAGGAGCGGTTGGCGCGGCAATCTCGGAGCGGATCTCGCTAGCTAGCGAGAGCGGTCTGGGAGACGGTCTCTATTAAGGATGCTCAGGATGCTGTATGACAAGCTGTATCTGTGCGGGGCTCTCTTGAGGTGATTTGAAACTGGTGTGTCGACGAAGGAGGCTGCTTATCCCTCGGGACCCCCTCAACGTACCCCCGCCGCCTCCAGATCCCTCGGAGGACATCGATCCCGTCCTAGATCAGGAGGATACCCCGATATGGTATACACACAAGAGAGACAAACAAACCGGACTTTTTTTTGCGAATGTACATCCGGTAGCAAGCCAATTTTTTCTACATCTCGAATATAAAAAAAAACGCGCATGAACTTAAGGTACACGGTCTACGTGTACCTGTGCGATTAGCGATCAATGGGACTAAACGGTGTCCTGGAGAGCGCCGCCGACGTTCTTTGCACGATAAGTTTTTCGTTTTTCTCTTTCGGATTTCGAGGGAACGATGCGGCAAACGTCGGTGGCAATTTAGCGCTGAATGTGTGCTTGTCGACCCAATTAATATAAAAAAAGATACTTCTCGAACGTCTTTCGATGTATTTTAAATAACAATTATGTTACCTGGATTAAAAAGAAATGTTTAACGTTTAAATATTATATTTAACAATAATATAATATCTAATTATAAGTTAAAATTAGACAGCCTCGTTCAGCGCTAAATTCACGATAATGATACGAATGGAAGTCATAATACATGTGCGGACAATATGACGTGAATATAAATTGTAAAATAAAATTCGTTCGGCGATGATAATCTTAGAGTCGAATCGATAATAATTATATTCCGTTATTAGTGCAAGCTTCGTAAAAGTGATCGGGATGTAAAGGATCTTAAATGTCAAGCGTGAATGGAATGTATTGCGGTGCAACAACTATCAAATTGCACATCAAAATCTAAACACGTATTAGCGACTACGAAATACTATAGCGAGAGCAAAGTCTATATTGTACAATATGTACTGACTATCGTATCTTTTCTTTATCTATGAATTTCTCTCCGACTTTTTGATAAAAAAAACCTTACTTCAAAAAAGACTCTTAAACTAAAGCTATTTTGAGTTCAATTAAAGTGAAGAGCGTATTACAGTCTTAATTTAGGAAATTTTATTCAATGATATTAAATAGTTTCCATAATGTGATCCCATTATGACTTCGCCATGGCAAACTCGACTCCATTTTTGATAAACAATCTATGTAGCCGGAAGAAGATACGGTGGCAGAACATAGTGTACAAGAAAGCTATTAAGCTGCGTCAGACTCTAATTACGCCGAATGCTTTTTGCGCCAGTCAAACCGGATGTCTAAATAACTTCGAGAACCATACTAAATCACCAGCGACTAAGCATCAAGCGATATATAACTGCTTCGTATATCGTTCGCAATCGGGTTAGCGATTAAAATAAAATAAAAAATAAAAAAAAACAGAATAAGCTGAATATAAAAATAAAAAAAATATCTAAAGACGTTTCTAACAAAAAAATTTCGTGCAAAAAATAACGATATATCTTTCTTAAGATACAACGGAGAAATAAATGAAAATGCAAAAAAAAAAAACACATCTTATCGTGTCGTTTTCGTCGATGCAGACTACTTACTCTTTCGAATTCGCTTCTAAGCTGCGTCTACGCAATTCTTCAATACTGTGTCCGGTCTGCTGTTCCCAAGCAGTTTTCTCCGCCTCGAACGCTCGTCTCTTCTCCTCCAATTCCCGCACTTGCTGCTCCAACGAGCGTCGCATTTGTTCGTGCCTTCTCTGCAACTATTTACGGATTTCCCGTATCCCAACGTTATTACTCAGACAATTACGTTTCACCGAATGTAAAAACATCACGTAAGATTTTAAAAATTTGCGTTGATTGAGAATAATTTTATGTCAAAACTAAAAAGGATCTTGACTGAATAAGGAGTTATTTTCTTAAATGCAAAATTTATTCTCAATTAAATAACCAGTGACATAATAGCCGGATAAACAAATTTTTATCAATCTCGACTTAAATCCCAAAATAAAAAAAAAGATAACATCGGTGGCATACTTCACTTACATCTGTCTCGGAATCCTTCAACTTCTGCCTCTTTTCGCGAACTTTCATCTCGAAAACTTGCTCCATCTCTGTTTCCATTTTCTTCATCTTGTTATCATGTTCACGTTTCTCCTCTTCCAACTGCGCCAACGGGTTCCTAAAAAGATTCAAATAAATTCAACCTAAAATGTATGAGCTGATGGAATATCGAATTTCGTACTGTCGAAATACAGGTACAGAATGACGCGTGTGACATTCAGATACTCTCGGCACATAGCTGCTAATATTGAGCGCACTACTATTTAATATTTCATATAAAATCTCGTTAGCTCTTTGCATGCACTTTAGAATTTCATTTTTTGTATTCTAAATACATAAACTTTCGGCCCTTCAAGAAAGATTATAAAAGTTCTTAGTTAATTAATATAATTAGATAGTATTGTATATTAATATAGAAATAATTATTAATATAATCAACATGAATTGACGGATCATTAGGAGTAAATAATTACGTAATATTGCAAAGAGATAAGAGTAGATATTAACAGATGTGATAACATCGTAGAAAAGTTACACGCCCAGTATGACGAATATTTCGAGAAATAGAGACACACGTATTTTCCATAACTGTACTCTTTATCGCGAGAGATAGCTAAAAAATAACAATAGAAAAATTCTTAGTAATAGCGCGATAGAATAGATAATTCATTGGTGATAAGCTTATAAGTGTTTTGGGACCGTAATCAGGTTGGACTAAGCTAACTGGAGCTCGGATTTGCATCGAAACAATATTATGCAAATTACAGATGATAATTGATGCATTACTGTATCATTACAATTAAAACATTGCTCCAACTCTACGAGATCCGATTACATTCCGGACATTTGTTGTGAAATTTGTGCAAAATATCATCTCAATGCGGAAATATATGATTTTATATCTATTTCACATTCAAAGAGTTTATAATATAATACGAGAACATTTTATAAATCATCAATATATTCTTATTATCGATTTGCAATATTAATTCTTTTTTATACACGATGCAAATCAGAGCTCTTATACAAAAGCCACAACACATTTATAGGTGTTATAAAAGATATTATAAAAGTAGGTAGATACATTTCTTCTATATGTAAGGGAACTACTTGTTTGTGCTAAGTACTAATGCAAAAGTAAACGCATATAAATATAAAGGCGTCAAGCAAATATAAATTGTGTTACGTTCAATATGGAAAATCTAATCTATCAGTTACTCTCTTTTTAAACAGCGTACAAATAATTTGCATCGGGTATTATTGCGGAGGGCTCACTGAGCATATCAAATGTAAGCGTTTGAACGATCTCGCGCAATAAATAAATCAGAGAACATGCATCTTAATTTTGTAGTTTTATATATATAATGCAGCAAAAACAGAGTCGAAAGAAAATACATGACTTATATAAATTATAAGCTGAAGTAATTAAATTAATATTTTAATTTAGTTATTTGCTTTAAAAATCAATTAAAATACGGATTTAAGATGTACGGAGTCTTCTTTATTAAATTATTTTTTTTATTAATTTTTCTGCTTTCAATTTTATGATACTCTGCACAGTGAATCCTCTCAAATTGGAAGATTATAGGAATAGTCTCGAAACTCGACAAGGCTTGTGCACACAAAACCATAGTATATCTTTTTGAGCCTTATTAAAGGACTTACCACACCGTCATGAAACTGTTCATCACTCCTGGAGGGCACAAACTGACCAATAAGAAATTCAATATTAAAATTCGCACGGGCGACACGCTGTCGAAGGGTTGGTTGGTCCGTTCCTTCCGCTCCCTCGGCAGCGTTCTCGTGTCTAGTCTACGGATACAGATCCCGCTCGCGCGATCGAGATACGCTAAGATAATTCGAGCGTGAGTCACTGGGGCCTTTGATAGTTTGCATGCACAACCTTTCTCTGAATTTTCTTCAGGACCATAAAAAAGAATGAAAAGACAGAAACACACCGTGTGGTACAAGCATGTTTCGTACAGTACACGCAATCGACTCGCAAGAACCACAGCGTTGTATTATTGGTGATACTGAAGCTCGAAATAAATAATCATCTCATCACGCATACACAGTCGAGTGCTTCGCCGAGACACACACCGCGTGCTCAAATCAAACTCAACGAAACAAACAACCTTGCTTGTGTTTCGAATAGAAAAAGCGAGCGTCGTAACAGCGGACCCGACTAAAGGAGATAAGTAGTTGTCCCGTCATCTTTATCACATCCGGTAATAATATTAATATTGCGCCACTGGGGCAGGTGAATTAATAAATTGAGCCGCATTATGCGCATGAGGCTAAACGACTGTTATATTAAATATGTTTTTGAGGCTGCAGTTTTTATCATTTGATTCTAGTGATGAATGATCGAATTAATTTAAGAAGATAAATAATTTAGCTACTTTTTTCTATTAATTTATTTTTTCTTTTCTAACCTTTTTTATTAATTATGACGCTCGATTTATCTATTTCGATAAAACAAGACACATCTACTTTTCGACAAAACTATTCTAGTACAGTAATAAAATATATGAAGAGAAATCGTATGGATGTACTTACTTATTCGAGGCCTTTGTCGGTTTGCCATCTACGCCTAGACCGGCCAGGGTGCGACACCTGAAGTTCTCATAGTGTACGTTATTCGTCACGTCTTTTAAATCCTGCACGTGCGTCCTTACTACCATGTTTCGGAGTGCAATAAAGTCGCAATGTTCCAGATTCTCAACTACGCAAAGAAATGAAATAGGAATGAATTATAAAAAACGATACCTAGTTTGTATAGAGGAAAAATATGCGTTAATTATATTTCTAAGATTCAAATGATTTTCTTACTTATCTATTATTTTATATACTACTTATTTCATATTAATATAAACAGTGTAAAAATGAGCAAAGATATACGCAGAAATAAAATTAAGTATAGCTAAATAAAAAAACTTCAAAACATAAAATTTAGTTTGACTCTAGTTCTGTAGTTATTTAAATGATAACTTTTGTTCAGCAAATAAAATTTCGCGCGATCATTTCAAATCAATGATCCATGTATACCTTCTGCAATTCCCCATGGATATTTTCTTCCTCGTATTTTCTTCCCGTCGTGTTCAATAACTGTATTCGCTCCCACGACTGCGAATGGCACTCTGTCCCTTAATAATTTATGGAGTTTGGTGTCTTCTTCTTCTTCGACCTCCGGAAACTCGTAGATTTTTATTTTGTGTTGTGCAATTTCGTTTAGGATCTGGAAAACGGAACAACGATTAAATTATTAATTTAGAAAAACAATGTGGAAACAAGTCCAGATTTAATACGGATTGCTATTACATATTTTATTATTTTTATATTTGAGATTTACATGAGAAAAAGTTTCTTAAAGATTACATTTCTGTTATGTTTCCTGGTATTTTTCAATACAGCAAATTTTTTTTTCTTTAAAATTGTAGTATATTATAAATAAATCGTACCTGTTTCTTGAAGTGTGCGCATTCATCCGGCGTCATGGTGTCCGCCTTGGCAATAACAGGTATGATATTAACTTTGTCGTGGAGACGCTGCATAAACTCCACATCGAGCGGCTTCAATCCGTGACCGGAGGGCGCAACGAAATAGAGACAGCAATGCACTCGACTGTCTGGGATCTGCCGTCTTGTCACGCGGGATTCTGCGTTGAGGAATTCCTCGTATTTCGACTCGATATAGTCTATTACTGGCACCCAACTGAATAAAAATAAAAGGTATTATTCACATAAGTTGTAGAAGTCCAAAAATGAATATATGTGGGATTTAATCGGAAGCTTTCAACTGCTTCGTCAGATTATTACCAGTTACTGTTATCCACAGCGTCACCGAAACCAGGTGTATCGACGACCGTGAGGGTGAGATTTACACCTTTCTCTTTCAACAGCACTTTGCTAGTTTCCACAGCAACCGTTTTCTTTATCCTGAGGCTGGGTCCGGGATATTCGGCACTATATATGTCTGCCAGGAACATGGAGTTGATTAAGGTGGATTTACCGAGACCTGACTCCCCTATAAAAATATAAAAAGCTTAGTATGTTTTGATAAATATATGTAATCTTGAGATAATTTAATTTGTGGGACTTTTTTAAAAATTGAATAATAGAGTTTAACAAATTGTACAATTATAGTAGAATACGTATTTTAATTACTAAAATAATTTGATTAAACATTTGCGGAAACGTACAATTTACAGTTCTAATTATAGGAATATTCTAAAAGATATATATTAATCGTGCAATATTTTAGTTGAAATATTTCAGTTGAATGACTTCTTTTCAAATATATTCTTTTAAATATTGTTTCATAAATACTTTCTATATGCAAAAAAAAACTGTTTAATTCTCAAAAACAACTTTCTAGCCATTAAATATTCCGTCGTCAGATTAATGATCATTAAATATAACGATCATTAATCTCAGTCCAAATATTTGTGGTTGACATTTCTAGGATGTCTCGCATCCAATGGATTTGCGGCCAAATAAATTCGATGACGGTATCCGAAACATAATGAGATAAAATGAATGCTGTGACCTCTTAATGCGCAAACCTTGAACCAGGCGAAGTGCCGCGCCTACGCCTTCAGCCAAGGGTAAGCTCTTGAATTGTGTGTTCTCTATTTACGGAGGAACGGCTCTGCTTATACGCGGACTAATAATAGCCCCTGCACGCAGCAGACCACGCTCTCAAATTTCTCCAGACCCAATGTTTAGTCAGTACTTTTGTTACCTCCTCCTCAAACTCCCAGCTGAATTCTTAAAGTTTCCATGCCAATGTTGCGTACATATTTCCAGGTCGTACATAATTTTATTTTATAAAAGAATTTGTCATTCATCATAAGGAATATAGATAATTAAATAAATATGACATATCCATACGTTAAGAGCCTTCAATTATACTGCTCCTCCGTCGTGCAGTTAAGAAAACCGGAGTTAAGTAATAAATCTAAGCAGAGAAAACACAGACTGTAATTAACAATTTATAGCCTTTTTCAATCGGCGAAGTCACTACGCGATGCGTTATTACAGCAAATTGGCCGTTTCGAGTGTGCATGACGGTAATTCATAATAAACAATAACCGAGGTCAACGTAGAAAGAAGATTCGACGGTCGACGAAGGTTGAAATCAAACGTGTTCTGCGGATGAGCATCCTCGCGTGTGAGAACCGCTGAACCTCGGCGACAGCCTTGATCCAACAAGCGAGCAAAGAAGCAAACGAAAGAGAAAGAGAAGAACTCGCACGTGCTCGGCAGATGAGAGGTTGCATCGCGAGATGATATTCCCGACGAAATGGGAATACCGCTGCAACTACCGAAGAAACGGATCCCTTTGTCCTCTACCCGGGCCAGTTATAGCCAGACAGACGACCGTTGTTCTTCCGCTGCCGCATAATAGGGCATTTTAATGTCCAGCTCCCCGTGAAGTGAGATCGCGTTTCTCACCGCAAACAAATTCGACCTCGACAATAGACTTCGCGGCGCTTCTATGGGCGCCGCGATTACTCCTTATCGATTCGGCGTTGCTTTAAGAAAATGCTTATGCACGTTTCCATATTTTTTTATATAAACGTAAATATTCATTGATTTATCTCTCGAAATAGCAATTTCTTAATAGATTACAACTGAATTATTTCAAAATAACGAATTTACATTAATTCTAATATATTGACAATTATTTATATTAGTCCTTAAATGCCCTACACTACAGGAACAACACACTTGGATATGGCATACCCAACATAATTCAATTACTTATAACTTGTATAAAAACGAATTAAACAATGTTTTTTAAATTAGACATTAAGGAACATAATGGTATCACACAAATATATGTATTTTTATGAATAAAAGTTATGAACAATGGGAAAAACATTGGAAAAACATTAGAAAAAAGGTCAAGTATGTCAAAAAGACGTTTAAGAATTAAAAATTTACCATTAATTACTTGTACAATTCGTGTCAAAAAAATTTCGTCGTGCAAACGACTTATTCTAATTTTCATTACGAACTATACCAAACTATTACCGACCTACGACCATGAGCGTGAACTCGAAGCCCTTCTTTACGGCTTTCCTGTACACCTGATTAGGGAGATTCACGAAGCCGACGTAGCCGTCGAGCTCCTTGGGCTTCGTGGGCGGCGTAGGTCGCGCATGGTGCAGCAGACTGGTCTCCTTGTTACTGTCCTCCTTGGAAGAGATCGCGGTACGTGCCGACTCACGCCTGTTGCTATCTTCCGAGGCATCATTCGTGATCGCCGTTGTCACCGCCGTGGACGGTAGCCGCGACTTTGCGTTGACCCCGGTCAGGGCCCCACTCGAATACACTGGCGCCGTATTAGGAGACGTGAGGCTACTGGTTGTCGTGGTGTTCGCCACCGAATTGTTCATCTGAGACCCAGGACTCTGCGTCGGTGGCTGCGGTGGCGGTACCGACGGTACTGACGGTGACGAGATTATACCTGTACCGTCGCCTTTGAAAAACAGTTCACGCTTCGTCTGAATCTGCAAAAAAAAAAAAGAAAAATAATCATTAATTTTTTTTTGTCTTTTATCACGTATCGGGTATTTGAATTTCTCGAACAGAATTTGAACAATTTAATAATATAGCCAATAAATTTTTATAGCAAAAAAGAAGCTGTTCAGTTTTAATTGCTTCAATTAAGATTTTCATCCAAAATTCCCATTAAGTTTTATCATGGATTAAACATTTTATTCGACTTGAAGCCAAAGACAAGTTTCTTTGATATAATCCAATAATAACCTAGTAATCTAATAAAAAAATTGTAATAATAATATGCGTTTTTTTGTTTAATTATTTAAACAAAATTTATTACTATTATTATTGAAGAATAGGATCATGGTTCATTATCCCCGTTTTCATTTCCGATTCGGTTGAGTGCGAACAAGGACGTGTCTGCTTTCAAGACTTGCCGGGAAAGGCCAACATTGTTCCGTAATACAACTACCAGCAAATACCGCGATTCCGCGTGTTACTTCGACCGTGACATGCTCGTATACACGAAATGCAGGTAAACTCGTGAAAGAGCACCAGTGAGGCGATAAAATCGCATCGCCGTGGAAGAGCGATCGATATTGTGCGCCAGCCGACGACGGTAGCGCGGCTTCCGCTATACTACAGTCTTATACACTTCCGGCCGGAAGTGGCCGGAGTACTAAACATCGACCGTTATTCGAAGGACAGCAAAGTTGCCGCAATGACCAGCGAGACAGAACAATCTTTTCTTCATGAACTGCCTTTGGACACAAAAAAAGAAGCGGTTTATATTCTCGAGACTATGGGAAAAGAAGTATTCATTGATTGCAGCTTCGTTATTAAGTATCGGTTTGAACCTTATACTCTAAGTTTATTATTTATATATCTGAGTATACAAATAAATAAATGAGTAAATAATAAGTGACAAAATGGTATACAGTCGAGACTGGATTTTAGTATCTAATATTTTTAAATATAAATTCTAAATACATCTTTAAATTGTGTAAACTGTACGTCACATTTAGTGTTGGTCTTAAAACGCAATCATAAATTAAATAATAATATCACAATTGATTGTCAATTTGATAATGCTATTAATAAGTTCTCAAAATACTGTAAAGAATTTATTGTAAAAAATGTTATCACCGTCACAGGAAATCTAATCTATTTTGATATATTTATTATTAAAGAGAATTAATCGTTGAAAGAAAACAAAACTGTTAGTAAAAGTTGTGACGGAAGTATTTTAATTCTCTGAGTCAAGCCTCCGTCGAGTGTCTCTATAACAATAAGTATTCCTGTTGCCTTATGCAATTCGGAAAGGTGATTGGCCGTCTAAATGGCGATCGTTTAGCGTTTCGAGTCGTATAAGGGTACAGGAAACCGCGGTACACGTCGTACGTTCCGTTACACTTGGGAGTCGATCGTGGAATACGAATGAATCAGATAATCTTTGTGTACACACGTGGCGACTCATAAACACAGCGTGTGTAAGGTCAAGGCAGAGAAAAGACTGTCGTCCATCTTCGTCGCGTCATTAAGAGAGTTTCCGCTAATGAACCTGAAACAGTCAGTTCAACAGCTCCTTCACTTTGATCAGTGTTTATTCGAATTTTTATCGAGTTGTTAACTGGAAAAATTACATTTCGCGCAATTTATGCAATGTTCATTTTTCGCTTATTCCGAGAGAGATAATGGTTATAAAACTCTGTATTTAGATGAGAGGAGAATTTGTTTTATTTTACAGCAGCGTGATATAAACGAAAATAAAAGATTTGCATTAATTATAATATAATGATTACAAATAAATCTATCAAACGGCTCGATAGAATTAATAATTCAAATATTAAAACTAAATAAGGACTATTAAGAAATTATTATATATATGTATATATATATATATTAGGTGTTGGAATTAATTCGTAGCGTTTT